TGGCCCATTAACAAAGTGGGGATGGGCAGGAAGCTACAGGCAGCTATTCTGCCTTTTAAAACTCGTTTCTTTCTTTTTACATCCAGAGAAATATTCTGCCTTTTCAATATTTCCTAAGATATTTCATTTTTCTGGGAGAGGGCTGTGTGATAACTTCCTACACAGTAAAACAGGCATGTCATGATAATCACATATCAAGATGAACTACATTACCTCAGAGTATATTCTTAATACCCCTTGCAACAATATCCAGAGATATTCATACTATGTAATTTGTATCTGGAGTGTGACAATTTTGTTCCTTTAACCTGAAACAACATTGAAAGGTGGCTTGCCAAGATTGTTGTACATATCACCAACATACGCTTTACTTCCATTTTTATTCATAATAATGATCAGATCTGCCTCCATATGAACACCTATTTATGTGGTTGTTAAGCCAACATTAATTGCGTGGCACATAATCAATCCATCTGCCTTCATATATGTGCTTTGTTCAAAACATGGTGAAGGGACATGAAATTTTAAAGAGAAAGATTTTGCCACCTAGATTTCTCTCTTCCATGTTTGCTTCCTCACAGTCCATTTTTTGCTTTGTTGTCACATGCTACACAGCTTTAAGGAGATGTAATTCCCTTTATCCGCTAAATGAGTTGTTCTAAGATTAAGGAAAAACCAAGTATTTAGATAAAATAACGTTTATGAAAGAAGTTGTCTTTAAATCTGTAACCCAAAGATAAACCTTTATTCGGAAATTTACCACTGGGAGGAAGAAGAGGAAGAGGGGGAGGGGAGGCCGAAGAAAAAGGCGGAGACGAAGAGGAGGAGGAGGAAGAAGAAAAAGGAACGGAGCAAATGAGTATAGTATGAAATAACTACATAAGAACATTTTTGGGGGAGGGGGTCGGAAACAACAGGGCTCCCGTTCTTCACGCGATACTTCCTCTCTCTCTCTCTCGAAAGCTGAACCCTCCGCAACCATAGAGACTAAAAATAATAACAATACAGAGCGCATCCAGACTTCCAGTGCCATTTGTCGGAAACCGGTAAAGCCGGATTTTCCGGCGAATGACCATAGCGACGTCCGACATGGAAACATCGGGATTGTGAAGATCGATACGGGCTTCAATTGGGCTCGTTTAAAGCGGGCCGCGAAAACCCAACCAGGGCGGCAGGCAGACCTCGCAACGCGAAACTCAGCCCGGCGCATTCGTTAGGGACACCCGCGAGAGGAGGCGCCGTATCATAGAGAGGAGCCAACAGACGGTCTAGAACGCCTTGGGTTTTCTCTTTCAGTTCCGGTGTGAGAAGTGCGGGGGGGGAGGTCATAGTTTGATATAGTTCGGTCGGTGGCGAGGGGTACGGACTGTCAGCCTGGTTCCGGCGGTTGGGACCCTTGAGGGGGAGCGAGGATAAGGAAGGCGCGAGCTCTTGGGGAGCAGGGAGGGAGCCTCGCAGGACTGGCAGATCCCGGGATTGGCCGAGCGGGCTGCGTGGGCCGAAGTGGAGTGCCGCGGCCTCCTCCCGAGTATCTTTGGGGAGGGAGCTTTTCGGCGGCGAGCAAGCAGGGAAGGGGCTGGAAGCCCTGGTAGGGCCGAGAGGAAACACTAGGCCGTTCGGCGTTTCTGGTATTTCGGGGCGTGGAGACATTGGAGGTCTCCATGGCAGCCGCAGTAGCTGCGGGGACCTCCGGCGCCCCTCTGAACGCCGTTGCTACCCTCCACGAGGAAGCCGTCTGTGCCATCTGCCTGGATTACTTCATAGACCCGGTGTCCATTGGATGCGGCCATAACTTTTGCCGCGTGTGCATCACTCAGCTTTGGGGTGCGGGTGGCGAGGAAGAAGGCGACGACGTGGGAGCCTCTGGCTCGGAGAGGGCTGATGAGGATGATGATGATGATAGGGGGATCGATGACCTGGGCCCTGAGGAAGACGGGGATTACGACGACGATGAGAACGACCTGGAGGACAATGATTATTTAGATGATGGAGATATGGGCGACGAGGAAGATGATGATGATGATGTATCCAGGGACGGGTACGATGATGAAGATGAAGATGCCTGGGAGGATGATGACAGAGACTACTGGGAGCAGGACATATGGGATTCTACTATGGGGGATGATTTATTTTTTGATAATTATGATGAGGATGAGGAAGTAATGGATGAAGAGCCAGATGAAATGGCAGAATATGCAGTGCCGGCAACTCCGCCTACTCCACAACGACAATCTTTCACTTGCCCTCAGTGCCGCAAAACTTTTCCTCATCGCAATTTCCGACCCAATCTTCAGCTGGCCAATATGGTGCAGATCATCCGACAGATGCATCCACAACCACCGAAGCCTGCCAATACTTCAGCTGATGTGGTGGAGATGGAGGCAGCAGGGGATTCCTCAGGGGTGCCATCTATTTTAGCTGCAAGTCATGCTCCAAGAGCCCTGTGTGAAAAACACCAGGAGCCACTTAAGCTCTTTTGTGAGGCAGATGAAGAGCCCATCTGTGTAGTGTGCAGAGAGTCACGAACCCATAAACACCACAGTGTTATGCCACTAGAGGAAGTTGTGCAAGAATATAAGGTATGGAAAACAACCAGATGGTGTAAATACTACTATGTAATCTTGTTAAGTTGGAGCCTTCTGTGTTATAAAAGCATTTATAGTACTATAAATTTTGCCAGGCTTTGAGAAACATTAGTGACATACTAGTATATATATGGAGTCCCTGCTTTGCCTACAGAAAAAAACTCTGGGTGATGTGCTTATTTAAATATGTAAATATAAATAGATCACTAAAAGATATTTAGTAAGCATTCTCTTATTTAGCTGCTCTGTAATTTTTTGTCAAAACAGAATATAGTTCATTTCCCCGTTTAACCATAGAAGCTACAATTTTAAGTGATATAAGAGAAATATGGAATTGTGTAAAAGCTGTATTCTAAAGATAGGAAATCTGTTTGCATCAGAAATATCCAAATACAGTGTGGTAACTGTTGTGGCCCAGCAGGATCTGGTTGAGCTGCTGATAGACTCGGATAGCGAGGAACCATATGAATCTGCCCTGGACGATGTGGAGGACTCTGTGCAGGGTTCAGACTCAGAGCAGGGACCAGAGAGACTGGTTGGCCACCAGGAGGTGCCTGAGGCATGGAGCAGTGGGCAGGATCAAAGGCAGTTTGTCCCTGATGCTAGATTGAGAAGGGCTGAGAAAGGGAAGCAGCAACTCCTAGGCAGACTCACAGATGATTAAGCACAGGTGGTGGTTGATTGGCCCCTCCCAAGAGAGATTATAGGTGAGGCTTTGGGAGGGGACATTTGCAGGACACAACAGTTCAAATTAGTAGTTAAGAAAATCTATCTGTGTATTCTAGTCGTGTCTGTTCATTTGGGACTATCTGCGTTGCTTCGTTTGAAATATCTGGGTTGCTGCACAGCTACTCTCTTGAACGTGAGTTGCCTGGGCTCCCATCCAAAGGATTCATTATCTCAGTAATTGAACAGTGGCAAACCGCCACGCTTGTGTTCTATTTTGTTCACAGGTGGGGGGTCAGAACAGGTAACTATGTTACCAGGACGTCAGGATTTAATACTTATTTCTCTGGCCGTTGGATTTGAACTTCAAAAAAAGTTTCTGCCAGCTGCTTTTTTTATGAATGTAAAACATAAATACAATTAAGTTGTGGCATTCTTGTTATTCGGGTTGTTTTAGGCTAAAATCCAGGGTCACTTGGATCCGTTGAAAAAGAAACTTGAGTCAGTTCTGAAGCAGAAGTCAAGTGAAGAGGAGAAGATAACAGATATCAAGGTAACTTCAATATTTCCTTAATTCTCTTACATTTCCAATCAATCTCTTGTTTTGAAGGATCACCTTATTCTTAGTGTATATTTTTATTAATAAAGATTGGTGAAGAAATGTCTTGGTCTTAAGAGTGTGTGGTCGTCTTTGCATTAAGCAAATGATTCCTTTGGAATTATCCTGAAGTAAAGGATTTAGAGAAGTAGAAATCCCAGATTCTTAATTGACGTGCCTAGGATTCAGTCTGAATTTTAGAGGCCTGATTTTAACTATAAAGTATATAGATGGCTTTATCTGCCAGTCATGAGAATTGTGCAATCCCATTCTTCTAAATATATCTCAGAGGATCTGCTCGTATTTCCTCTCAGTCTGAGGGTATATGGGTCCATCAGTATTAGAATTGGTCTCATCTTCTAATTTCTTTAGTATTCTTCATGGTCTAAACAGAGGTGACGTTAAGTAGAATTTCAGGTTCTGCCTAGAAAATGCTTAAAATAGTTGAAATCAGCAGAGCTCTCTTCCCTTTGTAGAAAGTCATTTTTTATTTCTTTCCTTGTAAACTGTATAACGATTGGAATTGTTTTTATTGATTTAAAACATTCATACAGCATTTATGAAGAAAGAATTTTAATAAGGTCAGTGACGGTTGATTTATTCCTTGTGATTTTGCCTCAAGCATGAGTTTGGAAGTGGGAATAGATTTTTTTGTCTTTCCATCATAGACAAGCACAGATACTGCATCTGCCAGTTGTACAGATTGCTATGATTGCTGTTATTTATAAAATCAGGCAGGGTTGTCTGGTCCTGCTGCCCGTTAAGGAAGCTGAAATAGATTTAATGTTCTGTGCCATAAAGTGGTATAATCCCAAATCTTGGCTGTGTACCTTCTTAGTGTTGCCTTCTTGTTCCTTTCTTCATCTGCCCCAGAACAAGATGAAACTTGATATGAAAGAGTTTGAGTCAGACTTTGAGCGGCTGCATCAGTTCCTGGTTGGAGAACAAGCTACACTGCTTCACCAGTTGGAAGATCGCTATGAGATACTACTAGGCAGCCAGAGTAGCAACATCTCTCACCTGGAGGAGCAAGGTGCTGCACTAAGCCGTCTTATTGCAGAAGCAGAAGACAAGAGCAAGCAAGATGGTTTGCAGCTGCTCAAGGTAAAATCTCTTTTCCCAGTTGCCTGGATTCCTTTTTGTGACTGGTTCCAAGCATACTTGCCTGTTATATATATATTTATATTGATTAAGAACAAACACAAAGATATAAGCCCTGGAATTGCTTAATCTGTTAAAAATAAGAATGTACCCTGTGGAATATGCATTGCTTTAAAAGCTATCCTGCTTGTTTTCTAAATCAAGCATGATTTTAACAATCCTGATTGTAGAATAAAAGCATAACAATTAACTAAAAGACATGCCTAAAGAAAGCAATGTTGAAATTGAGCCTTGAGAAACAGATTTCGAACTTAGAACCCTCAGATTGTATTATTGACATTTGGCAGTTGAATTTTGGCAGCCTGATTTCGGGCTGCTTTTTAGGGATAGTTAAGGATACTAGCGAAAGTAGTTTCTTTTCTAAGGATGTTCCACTTCCATTATTGCTAGCCTAACGAAAGGGCCCAAAATATGGCATAATTAGATAACCTCTACAGAAAATCCGACCTCTCAGTATTTCCCATTTTTATTTCAGGAGTATGTCTGGGTATCTGATACAACACCTCTTACTGTATTTGAACACTCAATTGTTTAATAGGAAATGGTCTATAATATGAATGCTAAAATGCCTGTGGATTTTAAGGATTTTTTTTCAGCTGTTTAGGACAATTTCCTACAATGATTGTTTCTCAAGTTGCAATGTGTTAAATTTAGTACATGTGATACATTATATGTTTGAAAACTGGAGTCTCAGATGAATAATATATTGGGGTTTGTAGATATTCAGACATTCACTTTGGAAAGGGTTTTGATTAATATTCTGTTCAACTGGATAGAACCAGAACTTAGTAACCTGTCCAGATTATTGCATTAAATTAGATGTCCCACACTTTAGTTTGTATGATTTAGATGGTATTACACATATGTGGAAATGGCTTTTTTATATCTGTATTTGAATTAAAACAGGTTAGGAGGTGAGAGCTATTAAATGTAGGAGATAACAAAAATCATTTTCATGCTAATTTAGATAGCAGATAATATTTTTCCAAAGCTGGAGTGGTTCTGGTAGCAAAAGTGGGCTAGAGCCACGAAGATATTTTCAGGGATCCTCTCAGCCTTCCATAAGGCCTTAAAGAAATGGGGGTCTGGAGGAGTGACTGAGCCTCTGCATTTGTTATGCTGATTTATGATTTGAATTCCTTTTTATCCCCTCTGCTGCTTCTGTGTGTTTTTCTGTTCTTTTTGTTTTTTATTCCTTGTTTTCATATTGTCAGCTGCCAAATTTGAGATGAGCAGCCATAGAGAGAAAGAAAGAAAGACTGGCTGGATCAGAGGTCCCCATGATTTATTAATACCTATATATCCTATAAAAAGTTCATGAAACTTTTAAATGATGCTCAAAGTGTGGAGGCTAGTTTCCTAGGGGAGGGCAGGAATGCTGATTGTGTCAACAGTCCTTACTGCCTCTGAGCACTATGAGAAGCACTAAGTTAGGTTTCCTTTAAGCTTAGGAAAGGTTGAAAGAGAAATTTTAGATTTCAACAGCAAGAGATATTTATTTAAATAATTTATATATTTGCCCCACTCACCAAAGGATGATGACATATAAAGATTTTTTTAAAATCCCCAAATCTAAAGTTTATAAAATCAGTATATAGCATAAGGAGAGCACTTAAGGCATGGCTTTTTCCCAAGTTTTGGGATAGTGTGATGTTAAAGTGGAAGATAACGTGTGGATTGCATCAGGGAAGTATGGCAGTAGAATGTTTTTCTGTTTTTTGATGGTTGATTTTATTCTTTTTTGTTTCCATTATGTACATGTTTGATTATAAGACATCCAGAATTTGATTTAGGATGAACAGCTATCTATACAAATATTTTAAATAAACAAAACCTATAGTGTAGAATATACCTGGAGTTTAAAAAAAACACCATTCCACTTCAGATCACTGGAACAACAATATGCTATCAAGCAATGTAGCTTGATGTCAGGGTTAATGCTGGGAGTAATATCAAAAATTTTAATGCCTTCAGAAAGGGCAACTGGATTTTAACCATCCAGATCTTTGGGGGGGGGGGTGCTCTTATCCCAGGTGCAATAACAAAGTTCTATGAGCAGTTTCATACTAAGGTGGCAATTACCTGTTTAAAGTGAATCCTCCTGATATGCAATATATCTAGCCCAGGGGTCAGCAACCTGCGGCTCTTTCATCCCTCTGCTGTGGCTCCCTGTTGCTGGTCAACTCCACAATTGATAGGACTCTCAGGACAGGTAGAGGAAAAGGGATGTCGTGCTAGGAGGAGACTCTCTGGTGGGGGAACCGGAATTCTGGTCGGCTCCAGAATTGAATGGGGGGCTTCCGGGTAGGACCTTTGTGGCTCTTTTAGTGTTTAAGATTGCCGACCCCTGATCTAGCCATACAGTGTCAAGCATCTGGGTAGCATCTGTCACATTCAAGTCAGGAAGCCTGACAAGTAGTATTTCTTCAAAGAAAGCTTTTTGACAACAAACACAAGATTTGGAATCCCACAAAATTACCCCCTCCCCAAAAAAGCAAGAAGCCCCTTTCCAGAAAACATCTACAGGAAATTGTACAGAAAATTGGTTGTCTTCTTTCAATCTAGTTGTTGTGTTTTATAACATCTAGGTGTATGAGCATCCTAACCTCTTTTCTTCTTTTCCCCCCCCTAGGACTTCAAAGGCACTTTAGTCAGGTTGGTTGAATTTCTTTTGGTTATTTCTGGTTTACATTCCTGAAATTTGTGCTTCACTGTTAGCCAGGTTGTATCTGAAAGTCTCTTTAGAATGTAATGGCTTTTCACAAATACTTTTGAGCCAATTCTGCAAATGACCAGGCTGAGTACTTCAGAATATCTGGAAAATCTCATCATATTTTCACTTGGTTTGAGTTTAGTATTAGTTGAGGGTTTTTTACTATTTGCCCATCAACAGGAAGACACACACCTCAAAAAATGGTATGAAAACTTGGGATAGATCAATGTTCGAAGTTAAATAGCATTGAGGTTGGTTAATGCATGTATGGCAGTTTGCCTGGGAAACCTAGATCCATTTATTTATGCTTGGCCATGGGGTGGGGGTGGGGGGGATATATGTGGAAGTATCTTAATAGTTTCAGCTCAAAAAATTGTGTAACTGGTAACATGCAGCTATAATTATTTTGCTGTGTCTAGCTGCTGCGGCTATCAGACTACATTAAAACATCATTAGCAAAGTTAATTTAAGAAGCTAAAATTGTGGCTTTTCAAAGATTTTGTTAGAATATATCCTGGAAACCTGTTCACTTAATATCTTTTCTGTGTGCATGGACTATCCAGAGAATGCCTACCCCTAGCTAATCTAGGATCCAGAGGAATTGCAGTATTTCAGTACTTCTCTCTATTGTGGTCAAGGATGGTATTTGTGGCAAAGTAGTTGGTTTGTTAATGTGGTAGACCTGACCTGGCCGCTAATCAACTGTTCCCTTATTGGGAACAGAATAAGTAGATCCAGTAAAAAATCTTCATATGCATGTGTTCAGAATGGCTTGATTCTGTAGAGAGAACAATAGCAAAGGCATTGCTACTACCCCATAATTCTTTACAGCATTCTCTGGGGGGTTTACAATATCAGCATATGCCCCCTAACAATCTGTGTCTTCATTTTACTGACCTCAGAAGGATGGAAGGCTGAAGGCCTAAGCCCTGTCAGAACTGAACTTCAAGCATTGGGCAGAGTTTGAGTGCAATACTGCAAATAGATTTGATGAGGGCCAACAAATCTTTCCCCTGTTTTTTTTTTTTTTTAAATCATTCTCCTACAGTTTTAATGAATTAATCTCCTGGCTTCTTGTCCATTTCTGTGTGAAAATAATATGGAGAACTTATACAATTAGAAAAGTACTACTGTAGCAGCAGAGTTACCCTAGGAATAGACTTATCAGGTCCCAGTATGTTGTATTTTCTGTTCTACTTACTAAATGCTTTTCTTGCTGGTTGCCATGTCAAGATTCCGATGAAACAACAAAAAAACAAGACAGCAATCTTAGTTTGAATGCTTCTTTATCGCACTGGTACTAACTGACCACCAAATTCTTGAAATAATTGTTGGAACTGCCGCTCCGTGCTTCGCACCACCTTATAAGTCAATCCCCTGGGCCCCACCCAGCAGCCTTGTGACCAATCCCTCCCAGGGTTCTGCCTTCCCTCCCCCTGAGTCCATCACCAGTGTCCTATAAGAATACATGCAACCAAAGACTCCCTACTCAACTCCCTCCCCACTCGTCTGTTCCTCCGTCCATTAATGAATAGTGTCATTTCGGTATTCGGACACGCCCTCAGGGAACATCAACAATGGATGCTTCTTCTGTAAGCCTTGATCACACTTGCGTCATGCTTCCTGGCGGTCCTGGCTTGCAGATAATGGCGGCCGCTATCTCAGCTGTTTCGTGGAAGCAGACTTGCGGCACGCCGAAGCCGCTCCGGAACTCCCCCATGCCGAGCCGAGCGGAGAGAAAGGCAGCAAGGCTCCAGCAGTCCTGGGCAGCCGGAACAGGGCAACGAAAAGCAGCTGGACGACAGTAGGAACCCAGCATACCCGAGTGGCAGTCTCGGCAACGCAGACGACGAGGCTGACATGCAGCCCTCTCTACCATGGAGCTGGTGTCTGGAACACAAAGACAACGGTGAGTAGGGGTAGATGGCCCCGGCTTCACTGGATACCTGCGGTGGAATCTTGTAGCCAATCGTGGGGCATTGACATCATAGCTAGGCACCCATGTTGCCTCAGCAAGAGGCTAACCCTTTCATAGTATCAGATATTACAGGTATCCCCCACGCATCCGGGCATTCAAGATCTCCTCTACCTCGTAATGTTTACCCCCCCATCAACAACAGGACTGGGCTGTTCAGCTGGAGGGCCCCTTATTCGGCTTGTTTTAAGCAGTCGTAGGAGGCTACAATGAAAGACCGGATGGGTCTTACATAACAACTTTGGCAACTTTAACCGTACAGTTACGGGATTGATTATCTGTTTTATAGGGAAAGGCCAATATATTTAGGGCCTAACTTTTTGCAGGACACATCGAGCTTCAGATATTTTGCTGATAGATACCAGCTGTCCTACATAGAAAAGATTTTGCATCCTACGTTTTTTGTCTGCTTGTTTCTTATACTCCACAGCTGATTGCCGTAAGGCATTTTGCACTTTTGCCAACACCTGCTGTGTTTGCTCAGCCCACTTTTGGACTCCTATATCCTCTAGTGGTGTTCTAGGACACTCAGGTATTGGAACAAATTCTTTACCTGTAATTACCTGAAATGGGGTGAATCCTGTATTGCCATGGACGGTATTATTATAAGCTACTTCAGCATATGGGAGGAGATCTGCCCAATCATCCTTCTGATAATGTATGTAGCACCATAAGTATTGCTCTACCATAGCATTTGCTCTCTCTGCAGCCCCATTGGTTGCTGGGTAAAATGCGGAACGAACCTTGGCTTGACCCTACTCTGGTCAGAAATTCCCTCCAAAACCGGGCAATAAATTGGACTCCATGATCCAATATAACCCTCTGTGGGATGCCATGCAAGTGGTATATGTGTTTTATAAAGAGTGTAGCTAACCTCTTAGCGGAAGGGAGACCTGAGCAGGCTATGAAGTGAGCCTGTTTTGAAAACAGATCTATAATGGTCCCAATGACGTTATGACCCTTACTTTCCAGTAAACCTACGATGAACCATCGCAATCTGGTCTCATGGTCTTACAGGATTGGCCACTGCTTGTAACAGAGTGGTTTATCAAGATGAACCTTCGTTGTGGCACACACCATACAGCTTTGTACATAATCCTTTACATCTTTTTTTATCTGTGACCACCAAAACTGGCGGTTGACAAGATGAAGGGTTTTTACAAATCCAAAGTGACCAAAGGACCGGATAGCATGACATTGTTTTAGAACATTTATCCGAACAGTTAAGGGCACATACAACCTCTGACCCTTCCATACGAATCCATCTCTGTAAATAAATAAGGACTGATTCTCCGTATAAAACTGCTGTCTGAATAGCCTGGGTAATGTCCTCTCATGAGGTAAGTCATGTTACATTTGGGACTTTGGAGCCTCAAGGTCTCCCTAGGAATCACCTGGGAGTATGATGGCTTGTACTATTTCCTCACTGGCACTGTCATATTGTGGTTTTCTGGACAGTGCATCCACCAGAGAATTATTTCCTGCTGGTATGTACCGAAGCATGAAATTAAATCTACAAAAATATAACACCCACTTCACCTAATTTGGCGACAACTGTCGAGTCTGTAAGGCCTCTAGGTTCTTATGATCCGTCCAGACTTCGAATGGTAAAAAAAAAACCTTTTTGGAGATGTCGCCAAGTGGTCAACGCCCACTTTACTGCAAAGGCCTCCTTCTCCCAAATCAGCCAATTTCTTTCAGTCTTGGACAATTGCCTTGAGGTGTAGGCCCAAGGCTGGAGAATTCCCTCCCTGTTCTTTTGTAACGACTGCAGCCACTGCTACATCACTAGCATCTGCCTGAATTACAAAAGACTCATCTGGCTGGGGATGTTGCAACACCAGCTCCTTTGCAAACAGTGTTTTTAATTGCTCAAAGGCATGTTGACACTTAAGTGCCCATTGTAGTGGAAAACTAGGATGAGATTTTTTAGTCAAATGTTTTGTCTTTAACAGGTCAGTAAGTGGCAGTGCCACTTGGGCAAACGACAGGATGAACTGGCAGTAGAAATTGGTGAATCCTAAAAAACTTTGTAATTGTTTTCGTGTTCTGGGTGCCTGCCAGTCGATCATTGCCTGGACTTTTGGGGGGTCCATTTTGATCCCTCTCTGGGATATATGAAACCCAAGATAGTCTTATTGGATCCGGTGAAGTTCACATTTGAACCATATGGAGTTTCACATATAATCGGGTGTCCAATAATTTTTTGAGGATTTGAAGCACTAAAATCACATGTTCTTGCATTGTTTTGGGGTAGATAAGTATATCATCTAAATTCACCAAAACTCTGTTGTCGAGGTGTTCATGCAATACCTTATTAATAAGCTGCATGAACACCGCAGGAGCACCTTATAGCCCGAAGAGCATTACCTGAAACTGGTAACTACCAAGGGGATAATTGAATGCGATATTCCTTTCTTCCCCAGCTTTTCACTCTTACCCTGTAATACGCTTCTCTCAAATCTAGTTTGGTAAAAACTCACCCTTCTGCCAATCGGGTCATATCCGTCATCAAAGGAAGCAGATAGAAATGTTCCATGCACACTGCATTAAGTCCTCTAAAGTCTACACATAAGCAAAGACACCCATTGTTCATCTACTGAAATAGGACTGACTGGTGCTGCTATCCTTGACCTGGCAGGTTGGATAAACCCCCGTTTTAAATTTTTGTCAATGTAAGCCCTCATCTCCTTGAGCTGCTGCGGAGTCATGGAATACATTCTGGGTTTTGGTAGAACAGGTCCAGGGAGAATTTCTACTCTGCAATCTGTCAATGTTCCAAATAGCATCCAAACGTAAATCAGAGCCCAAGGCAAAGTATTGTTCAAAGTTCCAATTTATTAAAAGAGCCATGTTGGCACATCTGGGAAAACCCGAATCTGAAAGCTTCCCATTTTTTCCCACCTAGTTGAAAGTTCAAGATCTTGTCTCCATGCCCACAAGTCCATCACATGGTCCAATCTCCCA